ATCTGACTATTTTGGCAAATAAGTATTGGGTTATATCACTAGTATTTAACTTTGAGATTTCACATATGAATCCTGAACGAGTAGTTAACCGTCAAAACAAACCTATATCATTCATACAAATAAAACATACAATCGATGTATTGGTTATCAGTTTGAAACATGGTTGATGGCGTATGGTGAGAATGATCTATTGTGCTATGTCGATTTCAACAATAAGGATCTATAGATTGTTTTTGAGCTTCCATCTTGACACCTCTCTCTCTCTCTTATACGTTCATTGTTCACAACTTATACTTGTTTTTCCGAATTAATTCGATCCGTTTTTCATAATGAAATTCACAAAATTAACAAATCCTAATTAGAATTTCTCTCAATAATGAGTATATCTTCCATCAAGGTAGAAAAATCACCAACTATAGTGGCTAAAGGGGGTAGTAGACCTATCAAAAAACTAAAACTTGATTGAAAAATATACACCATATGAAAACTCCATTCCAATTAATAATGGCCTCTCTATCCTTCCTTGAGAAAATCCCTGCAAATCTTCTCCCAGCTGGTTCTGTCCGGTTCGTCCACCTCCAACCCAGACTTGGCCTTCTCAGCAAGCTCCCTCTGCAAAACCCAAAGAACACCACAGAACGTAACAAATTTCAAAACCTGCATGTCTTCAACAACTTTGTTATTGCATCATCACTAAACCATTTTCATTCATCTTACTTACCTCAATGAAACCGTCGTTGAGAAGGCGATCGATGATGCTAAGAAGGATGTCCTTGGTGTACTCGGGATGACCTTGAATCCCCAAAATGTGACCTCCAATGGCGAACATCTCCACGCCGGTCTTGTCCGAAACCGCAACCACTTTCGCCGCCGGCGGGACCTCCCACACTTCATCCTGATGGCACTCGATGATCGACAGAGACGGCGTCAGATCATCCTCCACCATCTCCACTCTCCTCAGGCCAATGTCCCATCCATTCACCGCTTTCCCTACCTTCCCTCCCAATGCCCTGCACAGAACCTGGGGGAAAAATTTCGTCATAAACCAACCATTCCCAATAACTCGAGTCGTTAAGAAAAAAATAAAGGTACTACTAGCTCTCTGATTTTCCTATTATTCATACGAGCCTATAAAAAAAAGTAGTCATAAATCAGTTTGTTTCAATAATTCGAGATGTTGAGAAGGTTAGTTATGGATCATATGATCATTCTCTTACTCGCTCTCGGAAAACGAAATCCCAACTCATGAAGTTCAAATTTGCACGGGCTCGCCATAATTTTGTACTTAAAAACAAATGTGTTATATATTAGGGTCTTGGATATTCGAAAACACAACCACTTTCGGCCAAAATCAAATTCTGATCCATATCGTAAACCGATTAATCACAATGATTTGAGTTGTTACTTACGACAAAGATTACTTATGAATCGTATACCGCTTTTTTTTATTTTTTATTTTAAAGCAACGTTTAAAGAAACCCAATACGTCTAGGTACGTATCGAAAAAAGTAAAAAAAGTTAACAGGGGGAACAACGAGATCGTATACCACTCTCTTACACGGTCGTCGATTATGAGCGTGACACTGATATCGTGTTAAGAACCAATGCAGCGCGAGCGGCGTACCTGGTGGCCGAAGCAGATTCCGAGGACCTTCTTCTTCATGGAGTCGAGAGTTTTGAGGAGGAAGCAAAGCTCGAGGATCCACTCATCGTTTCCATAGGCATCGTAAGGGCTACCGCTCACCACAAACCCGTCGTAGCCATGGAGGTCGTCGACGTCGGGGAACTCGCCGTCGACGACCCTGAACAGATCCCATCTCTCACCCTTCTCGCCGAAGGCGGCGAAGAACACGTTGAAGTAGCCGCCGTAGGCTTTCTTCACGTAGTCGGAGTCCCTCGCCGCCATCAGCAGAGCGTACCTCTTCGTCGTCGGCGGCGGCGATCCCTTCATCTCAACCACCATGGAAAACGGCGAGAACAGATAGGAGTACTTGTTTTGTTTTGCTGTGGGAGTGAGGAATGGGAGTGTTTTTATATAGAAGGATATAATTAATATGGGGGAAATTAATTAATATTGGGTTTTTTTTTTTTAGGGAAAGCCAACACGATGAGGGAATATATATAATTGGCTTGTGGGATTATGGGCTACATAGAAGAAAGAAGAAGGAGAAGGAGAGGATTCATTATTTTAGGATATGGTCCATAATAATATTCCATTTGGGGAATTCCTGTTTTCCCTTTCCTTTATAACTTTCAAGTCTTCAATGAATTAGCTAATGAGGAAGTTGATGCCATTATATTATTGGGTGCTATATATAAGAAAATTTAATATTGGGTTTGTTTTTTTTAGGGAAAGCCAACACAATGAGGGAATATATATAATTTGAAGCAGATAAATTATTTGCAGTGAGCGTTTGTACCAATATATTTTTTTAGATTCAAATGTAGTGACATATATCATTCGCATTCGACGGTGAAACTGAGAACAATAAATTTTGTTTGAATTCCACAAAAGAAAAGGTTTTTTTTGTTTGTTTGTTACGGTTCCTTGATTACATAGTTTAAGAGTTTTAATTTGTGATAATAGATTTGGATACAATTATATTTACTTACATAAAATATATTCTCCATAAGTATTTGTCTCAAATGTGGTGACATAAATAAACCATTTGGAGGCAATTAACGATTTCCGGGCAAATCCTTGTAGGTGTGTATCTCTTTTTAGGGTGCAAGGAAATCTTATAAATAAGGAAATCACAATCTTTGTACTATTATTTATTAACCAAAAATTCGAACTTTATTGCTCAGTATTGTGACTCATAGGCTTTAATAGGTAAAAGAAACTTAGTTCAAACTTTGTATTAAGCCGTTGATATCCAACTATTAATAAGCATAGATTGTAGATTCTTCTAATTAATTAATTGTCCAAAATTTTGAATTACTAAAACAAATTCAGAATGGCCCTAAGGTTGCATATCATGTTTAATAGATAGTAAGTTCTTCAGTCGTTGATGACGTAGCTGAAAGGCTCTCTTATACGACAGTCAATGTACATGTAGACATCATTCAATTATGTTTTTAGCGACTAACAAGTGAATTTAGTGGTACCGATCAAAATATTTTATGATCAAACGAGAGTGCATATGATCCACTCATCAAGTAGTCAAATGAACTAGTATCCATAATGGTTCAAGACTACGTCAACAGAGATCAACTAGTATTCAACTAAATATCGTCAAAAAGTTCAAACGTATATGTAAAGAAGAACGTTTCTTCTCATGATTACCCAATCTACGTGGAGCACAGGTAGACATGCCACGTAGAGGAACAACTCGACCAGAATATCAAGACTTCACTGATATAGAGAAAGAAAACGACTGGCTGGTTTCTTTGGAGAATAGCAGGCCATCAACGATTGGGCCTGGTGGAACGAGAGCCTTGCTGAAGCCCACTACAGAACAGAAAATTGGGCCGACTTTACCATTAGATCGATGCCTCCGTTATAATATTATTTTTATAATATTGCTTGAAGGGAGTTAAAACTTAAAAGGAGCTCACTTCCATCATATTGGTGATATGTGAAAGTGGTTCTGTCAATATTTAATTTGAGAAGTCCACTGATCAGGATATTTCAAGCAGCAGTAGAAGATGGAAATCTTGTTGTTGTTTACTCTGCCGAATTGATTTCTGTAACCAATCGGAACCGAACCAATGAAATGGTTGACTATCTTATCCGGTTCAATTACTCCAACGATGATTGTCAAAATGTTGATTGGCTTGTAACTTCTCGATCGAACCATCCAACTGGCTCGCCAAATTAAGCAATGCCATATTTTCATCATATGCACCCCATAGCACCAAACCCCATATGTTTTTTACACAAGTTTTTCTTGTAGTGCCAGCGGTAACCAGAACTTGTTATTCTAAATATAAAAGCTAGGTTTCAAGGCAAGAATATCTATCTTTCATGACAAGCGTCCGAATATCCTAAAATATTTGCATTTTTTCTATTTGTTTTTACAATTAGGTCATTAATATCTTCACGTTACTATTTCCTCCGCTAAAGTAAACTTAAAATTTAACTTCCCCATCTATAGGCACAGCATGGCGCGCGTGTATCGCAGTAGTATACTAAAAAACAATCTTATTTACTTTCTCCTCTCTTCCAAAACATAAAAAAAAACAAAGTCGTATACTTTTCTTCGTTCAATATATTCGTAAAACATCTCTGATGGGTTTGAAATACATCTCTAAATCATAAAGATATGTTCATTCTATCTCGAGAGCAATTGTTCTATAATCTTAGATATCAAATTAGAGGAACATAATTTTTTCAAAAAAAAAAAAATGATGAAGTGTATTGACTCGGATTGTTTTTTTGTTACAACCAATTCCTTGTAGTTTCCACATTATTTAAATGGAACATGTTGGGATTGTGTGTGGCATGCCTCCCTATCCCTAACTCTTTTCCTTATGCGAGCACACTACACGTTTTCTTCTGTTCGGTTTTGCATATTTCCTCGTTGGAAACACCTCTACATTCCACTCCCACACGAAAACAATTCTACTCTTGTTAATTAATTTCCCCTAACAATATTCCATATAGTATAAAATATCTTTCACGTCCCCACACATTCTCTTTTTATATTAATGCCAGTGAAATTCTTCGTACAATCCAAACATGTCCCTATGAACGTTGTTCATCCACACATGAAAACATTATCCCCAAAAGTAAAGGTAAAGTTAGCTAGGCAGGCTTTTTAGATGGTTGTTGACTCCAAAATTCGAATTAATCATGTAATGGATAAGAGGTGTTCGTGAGTGGCAATGTTTGGCTTAGTTTACAATCTGACCATGTTGGTGGGATTTGGTCTAGCTAGGAGTACAAACGAATCGAACTAATATTGTAATTGTCTTCCTATTATCACTAAACTAACACCTTGATGTTAGCCAGGCAGATTTCTGGTTAGTAAACATAGAACTATATTTGACAAGAGGGGTTCATGAGTGGCAGCATTTGACTTAGTTTACAATCTGACCAGGGATTTAGTCTAGCTAGGGATACAAACGGTAATTTACACATATTTTTTTGAATAACAAGACATCTTCAATCAAAACGAAAGAATCATCGACACACGGTTATAATAACATAATAAAAATATCAAATTCTGAGCTACGTCGATTCCAATCTATGGTATCTACCCTTGAGAAAATTCCTGCAGATCTTCTCCCAACGAGCTCGGTCCGGTTCGGCTATTTCCAACCCAAACTTAGCATTCTCAGCAAACTCCCTCTGCATATGCCACAAGAATAACAACACATTTCAAGCACTTCCTCTAAAAACCATCCATCACTTAGTTATTCATCACTTTATTTTGATTACCTCAATGCAATTGTTGTTGAGAAGTCGTTCGATGAGACTACAAAGAATGTCCTTAGTGTACTCAGGATGACCTTGAATACCCAATATGTGATCTCCAATGGCGAACATCTCCACTCCAGTCTTCTCCGAAAACGCAATCACCTCCGCCCCAGATGGAACTTCCCACACTTCATCCTGATGGCACTCGATGATTGACAGAGACGGTGGCATCTGGCTCAGATCCTCGAGGAACCTCCCTGAAAATGGTGGCAGAAGATCCTCCACAATCTTCACTCTTCTCAACCCAATATCCCATCCTGTCATCGCCTTTCCTACTTTCCCTCCCAACGCCCTGCACAGAACCTGAACCAAAAAAAAAAAACGTCATACAGTAGACATCATTGTCTGCATTCGCGACAGAAAAAGACTCTGATATCATGTCAAGAATCAACAGTGGCAGAGCCACGTTGTGATCAGGAGGCGCTACAGTGCGCTAGCTCCACTCAACTCTCAAAATTATGTAAATTTACGTCTAAATAAATTTTGTAATAAATTTAGAAAATATAGTAGGTGGTAAGACTTAAATCCGCTCCTTTCTAGTTCAAACCACATGAACGTAAATTTTAGCCCCTTGTTTAGATTTCTGACTCCACGTACCTGGTGGCCGAAGCAGATTCCGAGGACCTTCTTCTTCATGGAGTCGAGGGTTTGTAAGAGGAAGCATAGCTTGAGGATCCACTTGTCGTTTCCATAGGCGTCATAAGGGCTGCCGCTCACAACAAACCCGTCGTAGCAATGGAGGTCGTCGACGTCTGGGAACTCGCCGTCGACGACCCTGAACAAGTCCCACCTCTCTCCTTGCTCGGCGAAGGCGGCCAAGAACACGTTGAAGTAGCCGCCGTAGGCTTTCTTCACGTAGTCGGAGTCCCTCGCCGCCATCAAGAGGGCGTACCTCTTGTCCCCTTGTTTCGTCGGTGATGGCTCTTTCATGGTGATATGGAAATGCAAGAAAAAAGAGAAGGTAAAGGTCGTTTCTTTTCTTTGTTTGTGGGGATGATGATGGATTTGGTTGGAGGAAAGGGGGGAATTTGAAGGGGGATTATATAGATGGGATTTGGGGAAATGTTGGGTTTGATTTTTTTTTTTTAGGGGGGAAAGAAAGCCAACACGGTGAGGGAATTTTGGCTTGTGGATTATAAGGGTATAGGAGAAATTATTATTTTATGTATGGTCCATATTCCATTTGGGTGGGGATTCCCCTTTTTCCCTAGCTTATTGCTTTGATGAAGAAGGTCCATTATATTAGTGCTATGATTCCATAAACTATGGGGTGGCAAAGATAAACAAACTTGATGCTCTAAAAGGAATATGAGAACAAAATGTGTGTGTACATGTATGATGTAATCTTTTGATATTCTTGTGACAACTAGTAGATAGCAAATGATCGGATTTACCTGTCTTCACGTGAAAACATGCATTTTTCTTGAGTTGGCGTAGGGTTAGTTGATCGAATTATCTTTAGTGTCGAAGTACATTTGAGTTAGAGAGGATAACATGCATGTACAAACGTTTTATGTACTTATGAAGTTTACATTCAGCAAGTTACTTCATCCGGTAAAAAGAACAAAAAAAAATTTACCATTAAACAACTTGTTCACTTCTGTTGATCACTAGCTATTTCGATCCGTTCATAATGCTAAATCATTACGGTCTCGACTCCTTGGCATTTCGATACTCCAGGGTTGTTCTAGGTTGTTCTTTTCAATTCGAAATAATTTGCCCTTTTTATGCGAAAACATGCCTTTTTTTTTACATTGACATATGGTTAATAATCAAATTATCTCTACAATCAAAGCATACTTTTAGTTTGTGAATAAAGGACATAATTTTTTTTACCACTAAGAACATAATTTTCACTTTCGTTCAGTAAAATAACATTATTTTTCACTGACACACGTTATTGCATTTTATGGGTCTGTGTATTTATAGGTCTCACTCTCTTTTCCACTTGATGGTTGGAAGAAGACTTTTAGAAGGTATACGTTGGCCATCAGACGACGACCTCTTTTGTTTTATGTTAAAATTTCTAAACGCGCCTAATTATTCTCACTTCATTAATAGACGTAGACCTTCCTTCCTCGCCGTCCGGTCCATTTGTATAAACCGCCGGCGCCGGCTGGTCAAACTCAAACAAAGTACAAACATATATTTAATTTACGTACGCTAACTCTGACTTTCTCCCTACGGCCGCGGCCTGCTGTTTTCCCCCGTCTAACGCGATGTTTGTGAAGGAAAGTAACAAACAACCGCGTACCTCAAAGATAGAATTAATTAAGTACCTAGTCGCTAATCTAGGTTAAGTGCATCAATATTCTCATCTTCTTCATACAAAAGGGATGGAGTACACTAACGGAACCAGTCAAGAAAAGGACGACAGCTAGGGTGCAATACTTAGCAACTGTGATTAATTGGCTTAATTATTCTTTCCCGTTAAGTAACAGATAAACCACACAGTTTACTGTCTACAAAAATCTTTCCAATACTTCTTGTTTGTTGTATACCGGACCGGTTGTCAGCAGACAGTTCCCTTTCAAGGTACCAATTGAGTATGGTATTTGTAGCTGGTTATCTGGACTGACTAGACAATAATAGGGTAATTTTGGTTTCAGCTTAAGCCAAGGATTCAAGCTCTGGTTGATGATCTCGATCGATCTTCTGAAGAACGAAACATGTTCAGAAGTACAACGGTTCGGTCACAATTTGTCAATCAAGACAATGTCAAGTTCGTATAACGTATTGTTTATGTAGGATTTAGATCGAGGAAGAAAATTAAATAGTATCAGATGTTTCTCTTGAAAGGTATGAATTTGCTCTGATTTTGTCGCTCAGGTCAATATCAGGTAGAACCGCTGGCTCGCACTAACCGAATAATCAATCGCCATACGCAAATTGAAAATGCCATTTATACTTGTTATGTTACGACTTACAAACAACACGCGACTCGTGATAAGACGGATCTAGTTATTTAAGCATATGCAGCTGCGTATGCAAGATTTGAAACTTCGACTTCGTGTGTCCTCTTTTCGTAATATGAATAAATGTAAATAAAACTAATCACATCCAAGTAATTCATTCGTAGATAAGGAAATAACCGATTAAAAACTAATAATATATATCCAAATAATTCATTCATAGATAAGACAATAACCAATTAATACAGACCGTCATCAGTTTTCTTATCAACCATGACACGCGTTTTAATATTTATTTTCCAATTGAATAGAATATTTCGTTTATAGAATAATAGATGAATTTGTGTCGACCTAAGAACAAGAAATGAGTTGTAGCGGAGTAGCTGAACACTCTAAAAACAAACCTCAAAGTGATGGGATTCCATTCTTGGAATAAACATATATATAGGGATATTATTTTTTCTCCAAAACCTACATATGACAATGCCTAATGCATGCAAGCTTCGATTACACGATGTTAGGTTTGGTACCAAAACCACAACAACGCCGTATCAGGTTCGGGTTCCTCCGCCTGTGTATCTCTGTATATTCCCTGTTTTAAGCACGTTTTATTGCCAATATTAGCCCACCTACAAATCTAGCTAGGGTGCATTATATTAGTGTTTGTTCATTTCATTTAATATTAATGGTACTAGCACAGGGTCCGACCCGTTGGTCGGGAGAATTTTGTCTAGGAATATGGTATATATTAATATATAATATATGATTTGAAATGTATGAAATGAGTATTTTGGGCCTTAGTTATACACTTAAACATTTTTGAAAGTGATCCAACTATGTATAATGCGTTCAGATCTCTATGAAAAGAGAAAAAATACATGATATAAGTATTAAATATAATTATTGAATGAAAAAATATAACTAATTGTCATTTATTACTTAATCAAATCATATAGTTGAATATTAGAGTTGTTTGTCATAATACATAAATAATCAATCTTTAGGATGATAGAAAATGTTTCTCATAGAATTCAGTAATATCCTTTAACTTTTTCCCGATAGAGATTATTCTTTTTTTCACACAGTTGGTAATAAATTTGAAGTTTCTTGATTTGAGGTATATAGGACATGATGCTAAGCTGTAACCAAATAGTTAGTTGGACAATGTGTTGTATACGGATTTCCCAAATTATTCTCATATTGCAAACAAATCTAGCAACAATGTAGTAACTTTCATGCAACAAATATTTTTTTCATGAAATAATTAAATAAATAAAACCTATGAAAATCATATTATATGACATATATGTTACTCATTAAGTTGATGAATGAGTGAGGGTATGAGTATCATACATTTATTTTAAAAAGATAGAAGTTAGTGTCTTTTGGGTTGAATTATGCATTATCGCTAACTGACTTACGCTTTTTGGCAATATATAGTTCAAAATGTGCCTTGTAACTTTTGTTTCCCGCCGGTGTTAAAGAATTAGTTGAACCAATGATTGTAAAATTGTATCGACAAAGTTGGTGGTAGAATATTTTATACTGAAGTCCTAATTTAACCGCGATTCAACTATTTCATATTGCTAAATATCACCTACCAATTTAACATATGGTGTGAAGTTTTATGGTGGAACCGTCGGTACGTACGATTTTTCAATTCAAACTTCAAATAAAAAATCACTAAAATATTGACATTATCGAATGCCCCTTAATTCTCAAAAATTATCATAATAGTATTAAGAAAAAATCATTCAAAACGATAATTTATTTAGGATTTTAAATTGAAATGGAATAATTTGTCAAATATAATGTCATCCTCTAAAATCAATCAAAACTCAACAGAATAGGGCCAACAATACTCACTAAGCAAAGCGGAAGAAAAATGATTTCACACTATCTCATTCCCCCCCCCCCCCCCCCCCCTCACTCTCTCTTTGCCTCACTCTCTCTTTTTCCGTTTTGTTCTTCCATCTCTCTCTAAACTTTCACCACTCTCCCCTTTTCCCTTCCTCTTCTTTCCACTGTCTGGAATCGAGAGAAACCTCGAAACATTCAAATTGCTTCTCCAATTTTGCGTTTGAAATTATTCTTCTCCATTCACAGTCGATAGTTTGAATCAGAGCATCTGAAACCTGACGAACATATGACCGCTTGTTCTTCGACGGAGCAAAGTAGTTTGATAACATGTGAATAAACTAATTACTAAAAGTGTTAAACCAATCGAGGTATCCAAAAAATCAAAATGCATAAAACATGAGTTCACCAATATAGACTGCGTGGTGCTCGCACTTGTGCGCGAGCCCTTGGCATTTAAGTCTGGTACGACCCATGAAACATTCATTATTGTACAGGCCTGATTCATATATATTGTACTCATATTATGTGCCTAGGTATGAGCTAACTCTGTCGGGCTAGCTCGACCATGTGTCTAGGTATAGTTATATCTTATACGCATTCTAATAATTAAGGTTCCACCTATTCACACCATCAAGATAAAAAAAACAATCATACATGCACCCAGTATTCGATTTTGACTACCTGATGAAATACTACATTTGAACCAACTACCACTGATGTCGCAAATAATAATTATACCTCTAAATCAGACATAAAATATTTCAAACATCACAAATATTAAGATTAAATTAATTATTATAAAGAGTAAAATATACTTATGTATTTTGTCTAAACTAAAATGCACAAACAATTTAATATTAATGTTTGAATCAATGTTACTTGAGTTTCTATTTAAGAAGTAATCTCTTTCTATAAAATATAAATAAATTAAGATAAAATATAAATATAGAAGCATCATCACCAAACATATTTCTAGAGTTTAATCAAAGAATTAAAAATATATACAATGTAGCCTAGTTGGTAATAATGCTCTTTCTTCATTTATTAAGTGATCAAGGTTTGAATTCCGATGATAACATTTATAATATATAAAGATGATTTGGGTACAATGACAAAAATGAATTTTTTAGAATCACTCTCAGGCCACGAAATTTGAAATGGGATAATTCCAATCCATATTTTATCTTTATATATTTTGTAGATGAAAGTGCATGTAGTTTTGAAGAATATGATTTGTTTAAAAAAATT